GCATGTTTGCTTTGCAGAAAGTGGTAGCCGGACCTGGATCTGTGTATGGCAATATCTCTGTTGGTTTCACAGGCTTCTGATTTTAGAGTGTTGTGCACTAGCCAGCTAGCAACACAAGTCTCAATTCAAAATTCAAGGAAGAAGCTTGAAGGTCTGTGCCCCAGCAGGGATGCGATTTAAAAAAAAAAAAAAAAAAAAAAAGTCTGTACTTTTGTACTGTTGTCTTGCTTTTGACACCAATGTCTGTTAAGTCTCAACTTTCAATTTAGGCCTCTGTGTGTTGGTTGGTTACTGAGCAGAATATCGATTTCCATGAAATTCTTCATTGTAAATGTCACAGAACAGGAAGTCATATAACACATTGCAGTAGGAGTAGCGTAGCTAGAATGTGCTTTATTGTTTTTCTTATATTTGGCTGACAGAGGACACGGCCTGCAGGCACAGATATTGTAGTCCAGACTGTACTGTTGATGAATATTTTTAAAATGTACAATACATAGGATGTATAGAATATTGAGCTTGTACCATTTTTAGGTGATTTCAGTGGTCAGAAAACCAGTATTTTTTCTGTTTTTACTGTAGGGATATGAGGGAAGACATGTTCAGCTTTCTGTGATTTTTGCAGGGCACCTTGGACATCTTGAGACATGCATTGTGAATTTTCATGTCCCACTAAAGTGGTGAGAGATGCTGAATCTTGGCAGGGGAAAGGGCATGAGAATTAGACTCAATTTGAAATTTAAGCTGAATAGACAGTAATTTTTTTGGGGAAAAAAAATCCGCCCTAGATGGCTAAGATATATTTTTCCCTTTCAGCTGCTCAGTTTCTGGCTCATCAGTTCTTGTGGTGTATTACCTTACCCGTTGCACTGCCTGATAGTAAAACTTTCAAAAAGAAGAAATGCAAATGTTACTGGGCTTCTTCATGTCTAAGTGAATTTAAGTAACTCTCAGATGCATCCCAAAATGAACCTGGCTCCTTTTACACAAAAGGACAAATCTATACATTTTTCTTCTCCAGATACCTGAAAGGGGAAGAGAATTTTTGAGGCTAGAATTCTCCAAGCCCGTTCTTTCACGAGGCTTTGCACTCTTCTTTCTCATCATGACAGGCTTGGAAACTTAGTGTAGTCCTGATGTGAGATGTGTTAGTAATTAGCATCAGAGAAGAGGCGAGATCCTTGCAGAAACAGAGGGGTTTGATATAAGACCTGAAGCAAGATCACTGTCACGATGTGTAGGGGCAGTGCAGCCAAAGAACGGTGGGACTAGCCCACTTCTCACAGCATTGTAAATGTTTCTCTCGAGGCATGTTGTTCCTGTGAAAGGACAGGGAGATCTGTGGCAAATGATCAAAAAGTCACTTGTGTAAAGGTGGTCTGCAAATCAATTTGATGACGTTAGTTCAGTGTTTGTGCTGAATGCTCTCATTCTCCAGGCTAAGCAGAGAACAGCATTCAGCACATAACCAAAATGCTTACTATTTCTTTTTCTTAGGTTCTGTGAAGTCCAGCCCCGCTAGGACCTCCGGCTCCCGCTCCAATGTAACACCCACGCATGCACCATGCTGGTGATATCACATCACCCAGGGATCCTGCTGGAGCTTGGAGCCGGCCTACAAGGGGTCAGGTAAGCACCACTTGAAAACAAACTCCACAGCCCATTTCGAGGGTATCGCTCTTAGTATTTCTTCTTAGTTCTTAAGGCCTAAGAAGAAAAATGCTTTGATGGATAAACTAGACACCCCAGTTCTCTTAGCCTGGCTAATGGGGCATATAATATAATAAAATATGTATTGTTTACATTGATTAAAAAGTTTCACAAATTGATTTGCAGGTCACCTTTAACCTATAAAAGTGTGTATATTTGAATAAGATATATTTAGTTTGCCATACATACTATGTTTTCTGCCTTCTCTTACAACATGCTGTGTATTATGTTTAGATGAGTTCATGGTCTTGAAAAAACATGACTGGCTGCAGAAATGTCAGGTTTATTAATGTGACTGAGGCTACAACAATTATTGAACTGAGTTAAGTCGGCAAAACAGCTCAGCGAGTCCAGTGGTTTTATGTGATATGTTTGTGATATGCGCGATCTTGTAGCAGATGGATCTAGGAGGTTTGTTCTCATTCGCTGAAATTGGTGTTTTCTTGTTTGAAATGAGGGTTTGTGTCCTTTCCAAAATGAATTTGCATTTTTCAAACTTTGTAAAAAGTCTTGCTGGCTGAATTCCCTTATCCTTTTTAATCTTGCTGTTCTCTAAGACTGGCAAAATCCTGTGACCACCTTCTATGGGGCAAGCTGCATGTCTGAAAAAGTTACACTTGCAGTTTGTTATCTCCTAGTTTACTTGTTTATATGTGTTCTGGTATTATGAAAGTAAGTAAACAGATTAGGAGTATTTCAACTTCCTAGAAGAGATCAGAATATGTGCAGCATTTTCACCCAGGTTTTTTCCAGTCCGCTGTTCATTTGTAGTGTCAATTTTTGAACCTATTGTAACTTCACAGCAGCATTTCTGGGTTGGTGTGCAGTAGTAATCCTGTTCAGATGGATCTGTTTGTCAACTTCTGCAGTGGCACTTTTTTCTACCCTTCTCCGTTCTCTTACAGAATATACTTCTTTTCTTGGTTGTTGCTATAGACTGACTTGTGATCCACATAATGTTTTCCAGCTGGAATGAATGTCATAGATCCCAGCACTTGGGAGGGAATGTTTCAATAACATACAACATAGAAGCCTGCTGTTTAGCTCAGAGTATTTTTTGCATTCAGTGCCCTTTCACATAGCTCTGCCTTGTCTTTCTGTGGCTTTTCATGCTCTTGTGCACTTGCCTAACTTCAGTTTGCAAGGGAACAAAAGTCACCTACTTCATTGCTCACTGCCCCCTTTCTGAATTATAACCACAGACCTGAAACCTTCATGATGCTGATGAAGACTGGTCAAGTCCTACGCTATTGCTTACCTGTTTTCAGACACTTTTCAGAGTTGTCATGAGTTATAAAGGCCACCAGCCAATATCTGACAGTATGGTAGTGGCTAAGCTAATGACTCTGACTTCTGAAACTATGCTGTGTTTCTGATCTGGTGTAGCATCATCTTTATCTTCTACTATTTCAATTAAGTTACAAAATACATAAGTACAGTTTATTATCCAGTAACTCCTAGTATCAGCTCTATAGCCTTCCTTAAACTATAGATAAAGTATTTTATCTTAGATTTTCTTTTTTTTAGAAGGGATGGCTGTTGCTGTAGAGATTCAGAAAATGACAGTTCCTGATTCTGATGTCTGCCTCTAATACTACTATGTAAAAGCTATTCTGAGGTGGGTAGGGGGGCACCTGAGTAACCAGATTTGTTATGTCTCAGTGAGAAGTGTGCGAGATGCTTTTTTGCAGACTGCTGTAGGGGTACTGCATGCTGGCTGTTAGTGATGGGTGACACCTGTGTATGGGTAATACTTAGCTTTTTCTTTCTGTCCTGTCTGTTCCATTGCATGGGCAGGGCTTCGTTCAGGACATGCATGAGGGTGGAGTATAAATGGGGGTTGCTTCAATTGCTGCTTGCAGAGCAGTGTAGGTGGCATGAGAGGCAGTCACAAGAATGGTGAGGAACATGTGTGTGTCGTGCACTGACCTGTTTTATAGAAGTCCAGCCTAAGGGTCTCATAGGACCTGGAGTTAATTGTAGATGATGTTCTGCGACTAAGCATGGTCTTTTGTTATTTAAACAGTGCTAAGTAAAATAATTCATATCTCTGGTGCTATTTCTTAGGAAATTTTAGAAGGTGTGAACTGTATCCAGTGCTGGTGTCCAGCTGAATAGCATTGACAGCATAGAAAACCTCAACAGCCATTTGTGTTGGACTGTCATGCTGAGACTGATCTCTACTGCTCTTGGTGGGCTGGGCTGGGACTCTCTGGAAGGATATGTACTCTACTGACTCGGAGCATGCTCCGACCTGGGATCCCTTTTTGTTTAAGTAGGATGGAGCAGAACCACAACTCTGAAATTTATTCTCCTCCCTGCCCTACAAGGGCATTTTGAACACAGGAATAAAAAAAAACCCACCAAAACCAAAAAACGTTTCTTGGCTCTTGAGAGTGGCTTTCCTGAAGCTGTTAAGAGTTGGTATGTTCAGATACGTGATTGTGGTCTTGCTTGTGATGTGTGGTGACATCTTTACCAAAATCTTTTTTCCTCCTTCAGTTTTAAGATACGTCAGGGACAGGTGACTCACCAAATTAAAGAGCAATGTGACTCGACATCCCTGAAAATGATTCTTTTGTAACGAATAGTCTGAAATACATATAATGAGTCATCAGTGTGATAGTGTTGGACCACGTGGTTTCTTTTGACTGACATCTGCGAATATCTCACTTGCTGTTTCCAGTAGCACAAGCTGTGTCTCAGCCTTCTCACTGTTCTCCAGAGCTATTTGTTTTCTTCCAGAATGTTTTTCTTGTGTGTTTACTGTCTTTGGATTTTTCTGTGAAGCAGATGTTTCCAAACTCTTGGTTTTCTGAAACGTTGGCTGCTCAGTGATGTGAGCTTGGGCCATTAACTGTACGAGAGGCTGGGAGAATGCAAGGTCCAAGATATTAAGAGAGTTTTTTTTCTCCAGAGGGAACAAGCACTGTGAGGGATTTCAAAGTGCATTTAGAATTTTTCACTGATGCCATGATCTGCTTGAAGCAACATGTAGTTGTCAAGGTAATGTTTTGAGAGATGAATGGCAATAGGGATGTGAATTAGGAATGAAGACAGAGGGAAGGTGGCAGTCAAGTCAGTGGTAGGTATGTATCCTGTGCCAATGTGTGCCATCAAATGTATTCAGGAAACTGCTCTGTCTGTAGCATGAAGACAGAGTACAACCCCATTTGTCCTTCTCAGGAGGACCTGGTGGAGAGACTTGTTGGGCTGAGTTCATATTGGTTCTGTCTGCTGTGCTTCTTGGCAGTGGAAATAACCTGTGGAAACACCTGTCTTTTGAACAGATACGAAGTTTGCAGGCCAAGTGAGGATGGCTCAGAGTATGTTACTCTCTCTGTTTACTTTCGGGAAAAGACAATGAGGCAATCCAGCAATACTTCAGGGACCGTACTCTTTGGTCAGCCACTATTAATATCTGTGCCGAAACACAAGCTCACTGTGGATCACTTGTACGGTGTGGTTTTGGAGCAGATCAGGTAAGTCATGTCTGTACCTCTGAATCCTGTTCAAAGTCCTAGTGGTTACTCATTCAATTACACTGTAATAGGATTACTGCATCCTTGTTAACAGGAAGAATTTTCCTTGATTTGTGTGTGGTGTATCAGCCAGGATTTGCATTGCATTGGTGTCTGGAGGCCCCAGGGGCATTTCCAGGTCCTGTTTTTTGAGGCTCTGTTAAAGCAGGGTGTAAGACAACGCTGGTGGTGGTCACAAAGGAAGCTAGCTGCTTGGTGTTGCAAAACAGATCAGGAACAGAACTTAGGCCATATTTTCAGGGCTCTCAGGGCCACCATAACTTATTTTTGCCTTTTCCATTTGCTGCCAGTAAAACTTGGTACAAGCAGTGAGAACAGAGAACAAATCAACAACAATTCAGTAAGTCTGAGAGCTCTGGGCCTGTAAATGGTGCTGTACAGGATGGATTCTGGTTTGCTGAGGGGGATCGGACAGCAAGGACTGCTATGACTGGTGATGGGGAGGAGTGCTGTTGTTCTGATGTACAGCTTTGGTATGATTGTGTGATAAACATATTCCCTCTCTTTAGCCGCTATGTGAAACTCCCTTTGGTGGAAGAATACTCTACACCCTGCCCAGACAAAGGAACCTGTAATGGCTCCAACAGTGTGGTTGAAGGTAAAGGCCTTTCAGAATTGTCTGGAAGCTTTTCAGCACTTAAAGCTTTTTATTAGCATTGGGTTCATGCTGTGTGTATTTGGCTTAAGCTCTAGCAGATTGTTTTTTCGTAGTGATTAAACCATGCTATTGCATAGGACTTCTGCACGGTATGGTGAAACTTCTTGTAGACCATTTTCCTTCCAAGGGAGATCAGATGTGCGTAAGCAGCAGCAGGAGAACAAGGTGTGGTGTGCATTCATCTTGACCAATGTTAGTGAAGTCCTTGCTCACCTATTATGTGTTCAGGTGCCTCCCTCCAGAGGCAGTTCCTTTCGTAATAATGCCCTTTGGTGATGAAAACTGGCCTGTTGGGTCACAAAGACAAGTTCTGGAGAAATAAAGTGGAAATGTTTTCTATTCACGGACCTAGAATCATGAGGTCTCATTCCCAGGTTAGATGCTTACAAGGAAGCTTTTAACGCTCATGGCAAATGCGTGTTTCCCTTTCCTCTTTGAAATGATTCACTTGTGCTGCTGTGAGAGTAACAACTGGAACAAGTTAAATGGGAAATTTTAAATGAGGGGAAAAACGTCTGCTGACTTTTCCCAAAGAACGGAAGTAGCTTTCCTGGAGACTTACATACTCCCTTCTGTAAAGACACCCAGCTGCAACCTTGCTGATTCTCTCTTGGGATGTTTATTGGGGTGTACTATCAGAAGGTGTGATTGTTAACCTACTGTGAACTGAGCACTCTCCATCACGTCTAATACTAGGATATAAAACCCAGCACCTTACCTGGCATTTGCTAAAGGAAAAAATACAACTTCAGATGAAGTGGTTAGCAAGCACAGATTTCTTTTTCTGTGTGTCTTTTCATTACTGTCTGAGTAATTAGTATGTGTCATAACAGGCTTATGCCAACAGCTGTTGATGTGAGGTGTCAGCCTAAACTTTCCCTGAAGCTCTTTAATATTGTGCTTGTTTTAAATTTTGCCAGGTGATGTTGAAGAGATGGAGCATCAGGATGGCAGACAGGAAGGGAAGGAAAAGCTGGCAGAAGTTGATCCCTGCCACTCTGAGGGTTGTATGCAGATCGAGTCTGCAAGAGACCTGCAGCCTTGCAAGAAGCAACATTTCACGTTCAGCCTCGTGAATTCCTCTGGGACCTCTGAGATAAACTCCATTGTAGAAGGAAAAATCTTAAAACTGAATGGTAATTATTGTCTTGCTATCTTTTTTTTTCTTCTTTCTTTTCCTTACACCTTTACAATAAGTGTTTCTTCTTGGTTGTAGCTTTTTCTGCACTTGCGATTGACTGGGATTCTGATACACGGAGACTACTTTTTGATGAACAGGAGGCACAGGTTGTAGTATGCTTTTTTCATAAATAATATATATGTAAACTTGTGTGGTACTTAAAAGATTACAGTAAAAGGTGAAACGTAGGTGTAGCTCCCTTCATGAAAATTGGAGTTGCCAGCATGACGTATGTTTACTTAAAATCTTTTACTCATAAGGTCTATAGATCTACATTTGCTGATCTGTTTCTAGTGTGTTCTGAAAAGTAGATCTTTCAATTTCAAAGCTAAGTAGTCTAGTTCATAGTCAACAAAACGAACGAGACAAAACTCGAAAGAAACCTTAAACAAATTCATAGAGCCTAGTAGAAAGCTCAGTATTCTTTCTGTGAGAGTTCTGTTGGATCATGTTTAACAACAGGTTATTCTGTTACAAATCTTTTGCAAAAAAAGCAAAGCCCACCCGCTTCGAAGTAAGGACATACTATATTTTCTCTTACGGACTGTTCATAACACAAGAAAGGAGTGGCTGGAAACTCGAGATGATTGTGTGGGTGGGGAAAGAGGGGGCAGAAATAGGCAGCATGGTGAAGGTGAGCGTGTTCCTTTTCATGATGTCAAGGATTAAAGACTACATGGAATTGAATAAAGCATGCATCTCTTTCACTAGGCATTTGAAAAACATGGAAGTATGTTACAACCACAGAAGAAGAAGGCTGTGGTAGCCCTCAGAGACTGCATAGAGCTCTTCACTACTATGGAAACGCTTGGTGAACATGACCCGTGGTAAGAACCTCTTTCTGTCTGCCGTGTTTATTGTAAAATGCCATAAGTATTTGAGTTCACATTATTTGTCACAGGATTCTGATAATTTCCCAGGTTTGTCCTTTTGTCTTCATCTGTGAGAAGTCTCAGTTCTGTGTTAAGTCATTGACTCAATAGGCTACAGAGATAGGTTAATAGAAGTATTTGTTTCCTGCCTTTAAAAAAAAAAAAGGTGGCAGTGGGCATGTAGCTTCCAAAGATCAGGCACTTTTTAGTTCCCCAGTATACATCTGTCTTCCAGACAGTGTCAGAGGAAGCAGCTGTGGTAATAAAGAGTGAAAACATGTGGCTACCTTGGGGTTTAATCCTGTACTATTTCTAGCTTGAACTGCTCCTAACTCTACCAAAAATCCGTAGTCCAGAGGGGCTAGGTACAGCAGATCCTAAGTGACCAAAATGTGATTACTGTGTGTGTAGGAAATCGTTGGAGGTTGTTTGCTAGTGGTGTAAGAAAATACCTTAGAGCGTGGTAGGTGACTGTTTATTATTAATTTCCAATTCCATGCTCTAGATGTGCTTGCAACTGTTGCCTGTTTGAGATGCATCAGGAAATAATAAAGAAGTAATGGGAACCTTAAACATTTTTTTTAATTTACAAAAGAAAATTTAATCTTTGCACAATGTTCAGTTAATGCACTTGCCATAGGACACTTTATAGGTAAAGTGAAAGCAAGTTGCAGTTTGGAAACCTCTGAGAAAGTGTGTTTGCCTGCATATTGCACAAGCCAAAATGCCTTCTGTAAGGCAGGGACTGTACTGTGCTATTGAGGGATCTTTTAATGGAAGGCTGGAACCTTTTATTTTAATGTAGTCATTCATTTCGTTGTTTGTTACTCTTTCCTCAGGTACTGTCCTAACTGTAAGAAACATCAACAGGCCACAAAGAAGTTTGACTTGTGGTCTTTGCCCAGGATTTTGGTAGTGCATTTAAAACGCTTCTCATACAGCAGATACTGGAGGGATAAACTTGACACTGTTGTGGAATTCCCTATCAGGTAGGATTCTTTCCTCAAGCTAGGAAGTGCTTGAAGCTGGTCAAGAGAAATCTACTTCTGATGTTACTGTTGAGTGGGCTTGTTATTAAAGCTGTAACTGGAATAGCTCTGTCTTCTGGGTTTGAACTGCAAGACAGCAGGCATGAGTTGAGTTCGTTGGTGGTTTGGGGTTTTTTTGTGTGTTAATCTTAACCTTAAGTTCTGCACATCTCAAAGAACACTAGTTACCAGCAGGTACCGTCTTCTGAAATTAGGTTAAAACCATGTGATTCTGCTGAACAAAGAGAAATTCTACAGAGGATGCAGCAAATTTGGTGGGCAGAGCTGCACTTGTAGTACTGAGGATTACACAAGTACAAGATGAAAGCCTGCCTCATCCCTCTGCTTCTGCTTGTCAGCATCTTGCTGCAGGATGAAGCTTATCCCTTGCTTTTCCTATCTCACTTTTCATGCCTACAGACGGGCACTCTGAACACACCTTTCATTCAACACCTCCCTCTAAATCTTTTGGAAGCACATGATGTGTTTACCAGGACCTGCCCTGTGTGGGAGGGGTAACATGTCTGGTCTTTACACTAGTAACATCTGGCCCCTGAGCAGCGGAGTGTTCCACCAGTGCTGCCTGCCTGCAGAGCTTCACTGGTGTCATGCATCACTTTTGAAAAAGTGCTGATTACTGGTGTACTGATACTTTTGGATTTCATTCCAGGGGTTTAAACATGTCCGAGTTTGTCTGCGACCCAAGAGCAGGCTCATATGTGTATGACCTCATTGCAGTTTCCAATCACTATGGAGCCATGGGAGTAGGCCACTGTGAGTAACTGCTTCTCTGTCCTTTGTACACAAGGAAATATAGGCAGAGGGGTCATGGGAGGGCTCTGTGTGTTGGACACCTGCAGCAGCCCTCACCAAGGGTGTCTAGTCCAAAACTTACCAGTGTTCTGTATGCAGGTGAACATCATCTTGGAAGGTAATGTCCTTCCTATTAAGATTTGCAGAGCAGCTAGCCAGTTTGTGCAGCTGCCTGAGGTCTGACTGATGCCTGTGGGACCTTGGTTAGTAGTCATTAGAGTGTGCTATGGTGTTTGCTGATTTATGAGAAGAGTCAAGATTTTTCAATGCCAAATGTGAAATTGTGGAAAGGAGCTTCTTACTGGAGAGTGCTGGGGAAGAGTCTTTAGTGTAAGCTGTCAGTGCTTCTTGCCCTGCAGCATGCGAAAGTGCAGCTGCTTGTCCAGAGTGGGTGCAGCATTGCAGCTGCAGAGCAGAGATTGCCAGCAGTTGAGCCAGCCAAGCAGGAGCTTGCCAGGTTCCCTTAGTGGTGGTGAGACAAGATCTGACGAGCAGCAGATGCCTGTAGGCCAGGAAGACAGAGCAGCGGGCATACCTTGTCATGAAGCTGGGTCTGATGCCTTTCTGCATTTCCTATCCTGAATTCTGTTTGTTGCAATAGCAATTGAAAGAAAAAAAGTGATTTAATTTTCCTTGTTCCAGACTCTTTCTAAAACAAGCCACAAACAAATGTCTAGTTCTTGGGATCTCTTTGTTGCACAGCTGGCATTAGCTTGCAGTAGAATGTCTCCACCTTTGCACTGACAAGAGCTCACATAGCAGGGAAAATATCATGCTGTCAGGAGGAAAAAAGCCCCTTTGTTATATATGACAAGTCTGGTACATGACAAGTCTGTATCTTCTGTCACTGTTTTTGTTGCAGCATAGATGAAATGCATCTGTAGGCAGAGTTCCAAGTATCAGGTGTCCGTGCAGATCCATGCTGTGGGTGACCAAGTCTTGGTTGGAAGAGATTTTGCAGGACTTGAGTCCAACTTCCTTCTTGAGTAAGGACTCTTACAAGCACTAGATCAGATCTATCATCAACAGAAACCTTCTCTTTCTTGTGAAAAACATGAAAATGCAGAGTTTTAAATTGTGTGTTAGGGAAAGCTTTGGCTCAAGGGGGGTGAACAAAACACTAGGTTGTTTTGGAAGTTTCTTTGCTCTGTATCTCATCCATCACGGGTAAGTCTGGTGTGTGCAACATTGTTCTACACTACCTGGACCAGCTAGCATGTTCTAGAAGATGTGTATGTTGGTGAACTAAGTTTGGGATAGTTAATGTCAAAGCTGGCTCCTGGCCTCCCGGCCTCCCGTGCACGCTCAGTTGGAGTCCTGAGCATCGCTGGTGCGGCGCAGCTGGCGTGGTGTTACCTACTGGTCTTGCCTGGAGTACTGAGTATGCAGTTTCTTCTCCTGACAGACACTGCCTACGCAAAGAACAAAGTGAATGACAAGTGGTACTACTTTGATGACAGCAGTGTATCGGTGGCTTCAGAAGACCAAATAGTGGTGAGTATTTGGTCTGAGGCTAATCTGAGTTTGTGCCGACAGCGTGGTTCCCTGCTTTGGGTGTTACATTTCCAGCCAAGCTGTGTGGGTTGTTTCAGATCGTTTTCTTCTTTGTTTGGTAGACAAAAGCTGCGTATGTGCTGTTTTATCAGCGCCGAAACAGTGAGGAACATACTGCCCCATCTCCTCCCCAAGAAGAGTGTGACGGCATGGATACCGACTAACCATCACCTCCAGTACTCGGCCACCATGTTAGCGGTCGTGCTTCTAAAGCTATGCCTGAGGCGTCTGAAAATTTTTCTTCCTTCTGTAGGAGTCAAGCAGAAAAATCTAGCACTGAAAGATTCAGTGCTGGGGATTGCAGAATAGCACTGGAGAGCCAGGAATAGGTGCTGACACTTGGGTATTTAGAGGCCAAAAATAATATATATTGGAGCTTCAATAAAGTTCTTTTTAAAATCTGGCTGAGCTGTGTGGCTAGAGGCAGGGGTCGGGGCTGAGCTGGGTTGGGGCTGTGGGTCTTGGGCCAAGGGTTGTAGCTGGCGTCGGGAGAGTACAGCCTGAGCTGGAGGCCAGGTTCACAGCTGAGCCTTGCAGGGGCCTGTGGAGGAGTATGGTGGGTATGATTCTGTGAATCGGCATGGGAGCTTCCTGCCAGCTCTCTGGTGTTGCTGTTGGGCCCTGCCTGTGTCAGGGAGGCTTGCTGCACCTTTTCTGAAAGCTCAGTTCAAATCTTTGTACATCTGGCCTGTCTGTTGCAGTCTCTGTCATTGTACCTTGGTCCCCTTGCTGAGCAGCAAACGTTTCTCTTGTGTCCTTTCACTGATGCATTTGAGGCTCCTCTGGGCAGTTTTGACTCAGCCTTTTTCATGTGAACACTGAATCCTGTAATGTAGGAAATTTCCGGAAGCGAATCCTGCCTGCCTATGGTATGGCATATGTGCAGGCTGATGCGCACAGCGACGCAGGATACAGCTGTTGTGGCTCCCATTCTTCTGCAGAAAAAATATTATCCATAAGGTTGGCAATTTCTTGTTCTCTCCATCCATCTCCTATGACCCTCACTTCTTCCAGGCTGCTCTGTAAGCACTTTTCTGCCTCTGCCACTTCTCCTATGGCTTGTGCAGTGCAGCATTTTTATCCTTTTTTGCTTCTTTATGTGACTCTTGGAGCTTTTTGTCCAGCAAATCTCAGCACTGTGTCCCCAGAGCTGTCACCTTGTAAGGATGACAGCATAGTGCAATGGATTGGGTGGGTTTTCATCCTTTTCTCTTGTGACTCTTTGGGGTTTTTTTTGACTGTTCTTTCAGCCTTTTTCCTCCTCCCTTGAGCACTGCCCTTTAGATCCCCACCTCATATTCTGTGAGGCTGCAGGTGTGACAATCTTGTCTGAGGTCTCTCTTTGCTTTAGCTGTTCAGTAGTTCTGCTCCATCCTTTTGGCACAACTGGCAAATGCTCTTCCCTCTGTCCTTTACTGGCTCTTCCTTGTAGAACTCGAGTACAGCTTTCCTCTTGAATGAGGACTCGTGTGAGCACTAGGTCAGGTCAGTCCTGAGTGGAGAAATGTTTTTAGGTGTGACAATCTTGTCTGAGGTCTCTCTTTGCTTTAGCTGTTCAGTAGTTCTGCTCCATCCTTTTGGCACAACTGGCAAATGCTCTTCCCTCTGTCCTTTACTGGCTCTTCCTTGTAGAACTCGAGTACAGCTTTCCTCTTGAATGAGGACTCGTGTGAGCACTAGGTCAGGTCAGTCCTGAGTGGAGAAATGTTTTTGGGGAAAAATCTGGTTGGAAAGATCTAGCTCCAGGGGGTGAACCAAACAGGAGGGTTTTTCCTTCAGAGCTCTGTGTGTTGGCAGAACAAAAGGCTACTGCCCTGCTTTTTTTCTTTCCGCCTGAACTATGGGCTTGCAGCCACCCGGCCCTCTGTGCACAGTCCCTGTGGCTTCACTGCACACCCTAACCTTCTCTTCTGATGGTCAGCGTAACACCAGTCACCCATTTAACTCCAAACATGCCAGCTCAGCTCCCTTTCTGTATGTCTCGGTGACAAGCCCCATGGGAAGTTGTTGTAAGTGTGCCTCTGCACCTCCGCTGTGCTGTAGCCAAGCAAAAGCCCAGCCAGCTACTTGCTATCTTCTCCTGCTCCGGGCAGTGGGAGGGGAGGGCAGCACCATGTGGGCCCTTAGCCAGCACACTGGAAGGCAACAGGAGGAGGGAGGGCTGCCTGTAGCTGGCATACTAGTGTTGTCATCCTCTTCTGTGGAATTTCGCTTTTAAAGCATTGAAAATTGCTTAATTGCTTCTGCTGTTCCGGTTTTGGGGTTGTTGGGGATTTTTACAGCTCTTAATATTTTACTTCTGTGTTTTTCCTTGTTACCGAGTGGAGCATCCAAAAAGCAGTTTTTAAGCTGTAGTACTGCACTGAATTACTCTGATCAGCATTTTTTTGTTCATTTTACCCTGAAAGAAAATCATGTGGGCATTCCAAAATGGGGAAGCGAGGAAAGGGAGGGGAGTGAAAGACCTTTTGAAAAATTAATCTGAAGTAGCCTTTATCTTCCTCCTCACCTCCCTACCTGTGCTGATAGTGAGAAACGCATCAGTGGGGCTAAATCTGTGCTGCTCAGCTGCTGAACAGACTCTGTTGTACTGCAGAAAAAAGTGGCCCAGCTCTTACTTTCTCTGCCTCTGAGCTGATGGGCTTCGGCTGGTGTGTGTGTGTTTGCTGTAATACCAGAGCTGTTTTTTAGACTAGCACTTTGTAAGTGGCTGGCTCTATTGTACAAAGAGGAAAATTAAAGAGTGGTTTGCACTGAAACTGGGTTTTGTTACATTTTTGGCTTTCGTTATGTGACTGGAGAGTGCTGGTTTTGGGGGTGCCTGGTGCTCCAGGAGCTCTTGCAGCTGAGGAGGGCGAGTCCTGTAGAGCCAACCCCTGCTCTGCCAGTGAGGTTATGGGAGAAAAGCCACCATTTCCTGCACCGCGCTCTATATCTGAGGGTGTGTGCTTGCTCCAGGGTTGCCTTTTCTCCCCTGCGGTGTTGAGTTGCTGATACCTGGTGCTGTAGCAAAGCCCATCCTTGCCTCTCTTTGGCACTGGGCAGCCTCAGCTACAGCTTCCTCGTCATTCCTCCTCCTCTGCGGATCTTAGGGGGGTCCTGGCCTTTTTGTCTGTTTTCTCCAGGGGTATCAGGGCTGCTTGTGGCTGTACCACTGAAATGGTTGTCATGCAGTCGCTATGATCCCCTCTGTGAGGCAATCTGAACAAATGTATGAGAGCAGACTGGAAAAGAATGAGAAAGTTAAATGCAACAGGCTTGTGTGTGCTTAATGTTGGTGTGTGTGCAGGGAATCTGGGGGATTGTCAAAATCTTGTGGGTGAAGGGGGGCTGTGAAGCCCCAGTAAGGTTTGAGGTATTCATGAGGCAATTGCAGTGCAACAGTGGAGGAGCTTGATCTTAGCTGGAGCCTCAGAGAGGATTCAAAGAGCCGTAGTGTCCCAACAGCAGACAGTGAGCTTCACTACGGAACACTGACCTCCAAAGCATGGCATGGAACCCATCCTGGGAGGAAGGGAAAGCAAAGTGGCAGCGTTTGGATGCAGAGGTGTTTGGGTATTCTGTCAGCATGCAGGCTTGCAGGAATGGCTCATGCAGGAATGTCAAGGGCGTGAAGCGAAATTAAATTCCCCATTGCAGAAGTGAGGGGAAAAATAACCTGAAATACCATGTTGTCAGTGAATCACAGTTATGAGCACTCAGGAAGGAGGTATCTGAGGCAGAGAAGAACATCTCTGAGCTAAGGCTCCTGTTCAGAGGAGAGATTATTTTGCTAAGAACAAAACAGGCTCTGTCTCAGTCCTGGCTCAGCTCCTGCTTTGAAGAGTGTGTGTTCCTCTCACCCTGAAACAAAAGGCTGAGAATAAAGAGGAAAAAAACCAAAACCAAACAACCACAGAGTATGGAAGAACTTCTCTTTAAGAAGCATTTCCCCAGGTTAGGACTCTTTGCCCTGGGGAAGAGAGATCTCCTGCAGACGGACAAGCCAGGAACTGTTCTCCACAGTGCCACATGGTCAGGCAGGAGGCTTAAAAGAGCCTGGCATGTAAATAACTGAACAGGGACTACACGGAACGGCCAGCCCCCTTGCTAGATTGTACATCCTGCTGCAAGTGTGGCAGGCAGGAGCGGCTCTGTGGGCAGTCTGAGCTCTCACTCTGGTGAGTGAGAGCATCTCTGGCTCTCTGCTGCCCAAAGACCTCCAAGGAGCTGCTCTGCCCAGGAACAAAAGCAGCAAAAGGGGGCTGGAAGTTGCCCCTGTGACCACTGGTGTGCCCACCAGCAGGTTGCCCAGGGCAGAAGAAAGCAGATGGGATTTTGCAGCACTAGGGAGCCTTGGTGCATGCTTGGATACGAGAGGAAGAGGAGCTGTCCCATGCTCTGCTGTGGGCAAGCACAGAGTATCTTTCTCTTGCTTTTGTTTTCTTCTGAGAAAGCTTCAAACCCCGATTATTGTAACAGGAAAAGAGTATAGACAAAGGACAACCACTGCTTTCAGAAACCGAATCCTCATACTGCTTCTGAAGATGTGTGAGACACTTTGTTGCTAAGTCATTTTGAATTGCTAATGTTCAAAAACAAAGGCTAACTATCTGTTTAAAACTATTTGTTTAAAAGGATAAAACCAGAAACATAGGCACTCCTTGTACTTTTTCAGTCTCATGAAGCTTTAAGTTCCTTAGCTCAAGCAAGCTTGCGCTTTGTGTACTAGAACTAGCAATGTTATGTCTTTTCTCCAACACACCTTTTCCAGGAAGAGAAACGGAACTACAGCTAGAAACCCACACTGACCCTTTGGCTCAAATACAATGTACTTGGTCCTGTGGCTTAAATCAGAGTTAACTGACTGCAGTTCTGAACACAGTGTTTTTCTTTTATTCTCAGCCTTGCTAAAATACATTATATAGCTTTAAGTAACGTTTCTTTTCAGATTACTTTTACAAGAAGAGGCAAAAGCATATTCTCAAATTCAGAAGATGGAGGTCTGAAGCTCTTCCTTAAACATGCCTTCAAAATGGAGGTCTTTTGCCATGAGCTCTTCTTCTACATCTTCTAAGGCCCATTGATGATCAGTCAATTCTAAAGCTTCCCACTCCGTCTGTGTTAATAAACAGAGACAGAGAAAGGAAAGCAACATAGTGTTAAAGTAGTTAAGAACTAGGCAAAGCAGTGCTTACCTTAAAGCTGCAACAAAGCCCAAGTTCTACTGAAAACATGGCAATCCTGTCAACTCTCTGAAATCAGTGTTTTACACTTAATTGGGTATTAAATAGTTGCCCAATACAAGTACCTCACAGAAATTAGAAAAACTACATTATCTGCTTTTCAAAAACCCTCTAACCTTCTGGAATAGTCCATTTTTTCTAAAACAGCTGTCTCTAGGAACATGGCCAATTCTGTCCT